CATTGAATGAACCTCACCACTGGTATTATCCATAAGGCTGGAAGGTTTCTGTTAGACTTTAAACAATAGCAACAATCAATGGAATAGTCATTCATTGAATGAACTAATTAACTGAGCAATTACTAAGGACTACAGATATTGTAGCACCTCAGCAAGAGCCATGAAGAAACACACTCTGGCAAATTAAAGATGCTTCATCACCAAGTTGACCTCCATTTATTTTCACATGTGACAGTTAATATTAATGCAACAATAGCAGTATATGAAGATATGCTGCCAAGGCATTAGTTCATATGTCCCGATAACAGAGACAATTGTGAATCAGGAAGGCTTCAGAATTCTGAAGAATATGTGCCCATGAAGGTGACAGCTCTTTTAGTACTCTTGTCTCTGATAACTGACTGCTGAAATAATGTCCATAGTCTGGAATGACTTAGATTTTTCTATAACCACTTTTTGGACTCAAATCTCTCTGCCTATCTGTTGTGAGAAGCAGCACTTATACTGGCAAATATTCTCATTATCCTAGTTGCTAACTTTCAGAGTCTTATTCAGAAATTACCTGCCAACCACTGACTGTTTAATGTCCTCAATCAGTCTGTCTTGGGGCTGTTGCTAATGCTTGAATCTTAGGATCAAATCTACCGCTAAAGGGTCAACCTGGCGCTAAATGTCACACCCAGGGGCCTTCCAGTCCACGTACTGTTGTACGTTAGTGGAGCCCACTGCTCCTCTTACCATTTACAAAGGTCACCAGTGTGATAAGGGGAAAGAATGCGGGACCCTGGAAACCAGAGAAGGTAAGCATATGACAGAAGAAATGATTATCTATACCAAGTGCTGCTCATCAGTAGGGGAAGAAGCGACTGGTGACAACAGGACTTGGCAGTGTGAAATCAGCAGGGGCCCTGACAAGAGCTCTTTCAATGTAGTGGTGAGAGCGAAAGCCTGACTGCTGGCCCGTGAAGACAAGAGAATGAGAGGCAAGGCGGCAGCAGCCGTTCAGAAAGAAGCACAACTCTTTTGAGGCGGAGGAGAGCAAGGGATTGGGAGGTAGCCCACAAAAAGATATTGGGTAAAAAAGTGGTTTTTTAATAATGCTTTTGCGTTCATAAATTCTTTGAAAGGAACAGATTGGTACTAAGTTATGCCCCCAGATAGGTTCTGGTCAAAATGACTTTTGAAGAAACAAGAACTCAGAGGTGGAGGGGCGCCAATCAGGGAAGTATTTATAATCTGAAAATGTAGCCAGCCTTGTATCTTTTGTCCCTCTATCCCTCGCTTAAGTGTGGTTTCCTCTGAAGAAGTATCTGTCTTCCAAGATGAGAAGCCTTTTCTTTTCATCTTCAATGTCTGCAGGACATATAGGAAACATTTCATTTCTCCACCTCATCTGTACTCTATTTCAACCGAGAGATCCACTGTTACTTGCTTTATACATTTGGCTTCATGTCAAATTTCCTTTCCAAATGGGCTTTGCTGCCCCAAACAAGTGAGAAAAACCCTTAAAATTTTTAGTGTTGAGTTAAAGTCTGAGAGAGCTTACATTTCTAATTCATTCCTGGGATTATGAATATTTAGTTCTT